ACCAAAATTACTCTATCCTGCAAAGCTGTCATTTAGAATCGATGGACATATAAAAACTTTCCCAGACAAGAAATAGTTAAAGGAGTTCATCACTACCAAACCGTTATTATATGAAATGATGAAGGGTCTTTTTAAAGAAAAAGATAAAATGTATGAACAAACAAAATGGCAATGAATACATATCTATCAACAATGGAATCTACAAACAAAATGAACAGGAAGAACAGGAACATTCTCATAGATACAGAGAACATTTTGTTGGTTGCCAGTTGGGAAGGGGGTTGGGGGAATGGGTGAAAAAGGTGAAGGGATTAAGAAGCACAAATTCATTGCTAGAGTGACAAACCTCAAAGGGAAATGGATTGGGGGGTGGGGGGGTGGGAAGAGATAAACCAAAGAACTTATATGCATAACCAATGGACACGGACAATAGTTTGGGAAAAGGTGGGAGGGGGGCGGGAGTGGGGAGGAGGGGGTCAATGGGGGAAAAATGTGGAACATCTGTAATACATTTTACATCCAACAATAAAGATGTGGAGGCCTGGCCGGTTTGGCTCAGCGGTTGGAGCGTCAGCCTGCGGTCCTGAGAGACCCGGGTTCGGTTCCCGCTAGGGGCGCGTGTCTCGGTTGCAGTTTGTCCCTGGTCCTGGTCGGCTGTGTGGGTGGCAGCCACTTGATGTGTTCCTTTCACATCGATGTTTCTCTCTCTCTCTCTGTTCCTCTCTCCCCCTCCCACTCTACCTGAACAAAAAATGGAAGGGTGTCCTCGGGTGAGGATAAAAAAAAAAAAAAAAAAAAAAAGATGTGGAAAAAAATAAAATAAAAAGAAATCATATCAAGCATCTTCTCAGATCACAATAGCATGAAACTAGAAATAAATTACAACAAAACACATAAAAACATTTAAACATATGGAGGCTAAATAGCATGTTATTAAACAGTGAATGAATTACAAGGAGACCAAGGAAGAAATTAAAAACTTCCTGGAAACTAATTAAAATGAACACACAACAACACAAAATCTATAGGACGCAGCAAAAGCAGTCCCACGAGGGAAGTTTGTAGTACTACAGGCCTACCTCAAGAAACAAGAAAAATTTCTAATTGACTATTTAACCTCACAACTTGAAGAACCAGAAAGCAAACAAAAAGAAAAACCCAGAGCAACTGGAGGAAAGAAATAGTAAAGATCAGAGCAGAAATAAATGACATAGAGAGTAAAAACACAATTCAAAAGATGAAACAAAGAGCTGGTTCTTTGAAAAGATAAACAAGATTGATGGACCCTTAGGTAGCTAGACTCACCAAGAAAGAAAGAGAGAGGACCCAAATGAACAAAATCAGAAATGAAAGAGGAGAAGTAACAACTGACACCACAGAAATACAAAGGATCATTAATAAATACTATGAACAATTATACACCAACAAATTGGACAATATAGGCAAAATGGACAAATTTCTAGAAACACATAGTCTCCCAAAATTGACCTAGGGAGAGATAAAAAACTTGAACAGACCAATAACAACTAAGGAAATTGAAGATGTAATCAAGAATCTCCCAGCAAACAAAAGCCTGGGCTCAGACGGCTTCACAGGGTAGTTTTAACAAACATTCAAAGAAGAACTAACATCCATTGTATTCAAACTATCTCAAAAAATTCAGGAAGAAGGAAGACTTCCAGGCTCGTTTTATGAGGCCAGCATAATTCTAATTCCAAAACCAGATAAAGACACTACAAGAAAGAAAACTACAGGCCAATATCCCTGATGAACATAGATGCCAAAATCCTTAACAAAATATTAGCAAATCGGCCCTGGCCGGTTTGGCTCAGCGGTTGGAGCATCGGCTTGCGGTACAGAGAGACCCGGGTTCGGTTCCCGCTAAGGGCACGTACCTCGGTTGCAGTTTGTCCCCGGCCCTGGTTGGTCGTGCGGGTGGCAGCCACTCGATGTGTCGCTTCACGTCGATGTTTCTCTCTCTCCCTCCCGCTCTATCGGAACAAAAAAACGGAAAAATGTCCTCGGATGAGGATAAAAAAACAAAAAAAAACCAAAATATTAGCAAATTGGATCCACCAATACATTAAAAAAATTATTCACCATGACCAAGTGGGATTCATCCCAGGGATGCAAGGCTGGTACAATATTCACAAGTCAATAAAAGTGATACACCACATAAACAAAATAAAAGATAAAAACCATATGATCATATCAATAGATGTAGAAAAAACATTCGACAAAATCCAGCACCCATTTCTGATAAAAATGTTCAGCAATGTGGGAATAGAGGGATCATATCTCGACATAATAGAGGCCATGTATGAAAAACCAACAGCCAACATCATACTCAATGGGAAAAAACTAAAAGTGTTTTTCTTAAGAGCAGGAACAAAACAGGGATGCCCACTTTCACCATTCTTATTTAATATAGTACTGGAAGTCTTAGCCACAGCAATTAGACATGGGGAAAGAATAAAAAGGATCCAAATTGGAAAGGAGGAAGTAAAACTGTGATTATTTGCAGATGACATGATATTGTACATAGAAAACCCTAAAGACTCCATCAAAAATCTACTAGATTTAATAAACAAATTAGGCAAATTCGCAGGATACAAAATTAACATCAAGAAATTGATGATCACCTCACACCTACCAAAATGGCTCCAATCAACAAATCATCAAACAACAAGTGCTGGCACAGGTTGGAGAAAAGGGGACTCTAGTACACTGCTGGTGGGAATGCAGAATGGTGTAGCCACTATGGAAAACAATATGGTGTTTCCTCAAAAAATTAAAAATCGAACTGCCATTTGACCCAGTGATCCCATTTCTAGGAATATACTTCTAAGAAGCCTGAAACACCAATCAGAAAGAATATATGCACTCCTATGTTCATAGCAGCACTATTTACAATAGCTAAGATGTGGAAAAAGCCCAAGTGTCCATCAGTACATGAGTGGATAAAAAAGTTGTGGTACATGTACACAATGGAATTCTATGCAGCCGTAAGAAAGATCTCGTATCCTTTGAAACAACATGAAGGGATCTGGAGTGTATTATCCGAAGAGAAACAAGTCAATCAGAGAAAGACAAATATCACATGATCTCACTTATCTGTGGAATATAATGAATAAAACAAGCTGAGGAACAAAACAGACCCAGAGACATGGAAGTGGGGTACAGACTGACAAACCTCAGAAGAGATGGATGTGAGGGGAAAGAAGAGATAAACCACAGAACTTTTACGCATATATGTGTAAACAAGGACATAGACAATAATGCTGGGGTGGGGGGGCAGGATTGAAAAGAGGGTGTCAATGGGGGGGTGAAAAGAAACATCTGTAACGAAAGAAAAAAAAAGATGCTCACTGATGTCAGGAGAACAATGCATGAACAAAGTAAAAAAGGACACTATAAGAAAATCACAGGCAAATATTCCTGATGAACTTAGATGCAAAAATCCACAACAAAACATTAGCAAACCAAATTCAACAGTACAGTAAAAGTATCACACACCGTGATCAAGTGGGATTTATTCCAAGGATGCAAGGATGGTTCAACATCAACAAATCAATAGATGTGCTATAGCACATTAACAAAATGAAGGATAAACATCATTTCAATAGATGCAGAAAAAGCATTTGACAATATTCAACATCAATTCATAAAAAAAACTCAACAAAGTTGGTACAGATAGAACATACCTAAATACAATAAAGATCATATATGACAAGTCAACAACTAACATCACACTTGATGGAGAAAAGCTAAAAGCTTTTCCTCTAAGATCAGAAGAAAACAAAGATGCCCACTCGCACCACCTTTATTCAACATAGTACAGGAAGTCTCAGCCAGAGCAATTAGGCAAGAAAAAGAAAAGTCATCCAAATTGGAAAGGAAGAAGTGAAATAGTCTCTATTGGCATTTACACAATATTACGTAAAGAACACCCTAAAGACTCCACCAAAAAAAACAGAACTTATAAATGGATCAGTAAACTTGCAGGATACAAAGTCAATATATAAAATCATTTGCACTTCTATACATTAACAATGAAATATTAGAAAGAGAAATTATGAAAACAATCTAATTACATTGCACCAAAAAGAATAAAAAATATGTAGGAATAAATTTAACCAAGGAGCCCTGGCCGGTTTGGCTCAGCAGTTGGAGCATCGAACTGACCCAGGTTTGGTTCCAACTAAGGGCACGTACCTCAGTTGCAGTTTGTCCCTGGCCCTGGTTGGGTTGTGCGGGTGGCAACCACTCGATGTGTCCCTTTCACGTTGATGTTTCTCTCTCTCTCTCCCTCCCACTCTATGAACAAAGTATCGAAAAATGTCCTCAGGTGAGAATAAAAAAAAAATTTAACCAGGGAGGTGAAAGACCCGTACACTGAAAACTATGACATTGATAAAAAAAACAAAAACACGAAGGTACAAATTAAAGGACAGATATTCTGTGCCCATGTGTTAAAACAACTAATGCTGTTAAAACGTCCATGCTACCCAAAGTTATCTACAGATTCAGTGGAATTCCTATCAAAATTCCAGTGGCATTTTTCACAGATGTAGAAAAAACAATCCTAAAATTTGCATGGAATCACAAAAGATCCCAAATAGCCAAAGCAATCTTGAGATATAACAAGGCTTGAAGGCATCAAACTTCTTGGTTTAAAACTAACTATATTACACGGTTGCTGGTGCGATGGGCGGGCTTCTCTCTGGTTGCTGGTGCGATGGGCGGGCTTCTCTCTGCCTGCTGCGCGTAAAATGCAAGGGCGCGCAGAGCAGCCAGCCGCTAGGGTCGGCTAGACGCCAAAGCGTCGGGGTCAGTTGTGTCGTGAAAATGACGCTGGTACCGTCTCCCCGACAGCTGGCGCTGTGCGTTAGCCCCAGGTGGGCTCAGCGGCTGCCTGGTGAGACTACGCTCAAGCCTAGCCCATTCCTTCTTGGACCAGATGTCAAGCAGCTACACTGAGTCGACTGCTGCTGCGGGCAATGGCAGCCTCATCGGCCTCGCACCGGCCCATAAAGGGGATCCTGAAAAACAGGAGCTCTATGGCTTCCAATGTGCTGTCTCCTTCAGAACAGCAGCGGGACAAGAGTGTGGAAGAACTGAGTAAAAAATCCCAGAGGTGGGATGAAGTGAACATCGTGGCGACAAATTATGCATCAGATGAAGACTATGGTTTAGTGAAAATATATGAACCAAGCACTCCGTACAATAGTATGATAAGTGATGATGACGATGTGTTGGGTGATTCAGAGACCGGTAAAGCCCAGCCAGATACATTAGTTAAGAAATTATCTGTCGCTGAAGGCTCAGAGACAAAAGATCGGGTCCGTGAACAAGAAAGCAGTGGAGATGAAGATGGTGACCTCCCACCTGAACAAGGTAAAAAGTCTCTATTGAGTACCTGCTGTTTATTCTTTTTCAAGTGCTCTGTAGGAAATGCACAGGGGGAAGAAAAGACCAAGCTTCAGGGATCTTCCAGACCAGCTAGAGAAAAAAAGCAAGAGTTCGAAATGAAAAGGAAGCTTCATGACAGTGAAGGACTGAATATTAAATTGGCTAGGCAATTAATAGAAAAAGACCTAGATGATGAGGAGGAAAATGAAGAAACAGCAAAGACTGCAACCAAAGAAAATATGAATATGGAAGAATCAAATCAAGGATCTACTACATGTGATCAACTACAAAACAAATCAGAGAGTTCATAGAAGAAATTTGTTCAACACTGTAATTGTCTGATACAAACTGTTACTGTATTATACTGCTTCTTGTTCTCTACAATACATGACTTAAGTACCAAAATGCATACCAGTTATATGTTGCCAAGAATTAAATAACTTTAGAGACTAATTAGACTCAAAATGCCTAATTGATACATATATTCTTGTACCCAATACCACAAATACAGCATATTACCATCAGTCCCAAACTGCATTATTTTCGTAAGAACACTGGTTAATTTGCATAAGATATTATATAGCCCTGGCCGGTTTTGCTCAGTGGTTAGAGTGTCGACCTGCGGTCCAGAGAGACCCGGGTTCGGTTCCCGCTAAGGGCGCGTACCTCAGTTGCAGTTTGTCCCCGGCCCTGGTTGGTGGTGCGGGTGGCAGCCACTCGATGTGTCCCTTTCACCGTCGATGTTTCTCTCTCTCTCTCTTCCTTTCTCTCCCTCCCACTCTATCTGAATAAAAAATGAAAAAAAATGTCCTCGGGTAAGGATAAAAAAAAAAGATATTATATAGCTTTTTATGTTTTAGAGGTTAAACAAGATCTTGGGAAGAGGTAGGGAATCTAATTTATTTTCTTCACTTCTAGATGTGATAGCTCTTATAAAATTTTTTTAAAAAATGAAAATCCAGGGCCCAACTCCTTCTGATCGAGGCCCCCCCAAAAACATAAAAAAATAAAAAATGAAAATCCAGTTGGAACAAGATTATACAGGCTGATAAATGTTCAGTCTGAAAAGTATTTATTAGCCTATAAATACTCTTTTTTTCCTTGATTTATCTGTTTAGTTGAAAAAGGTTGTTATATGAGTTACTGTTGCATTTTCTGGCCTACTACCTTTAAAATTCCTTTTGAGTTTCTTTGTTTACAAGGAAAGGATTAATCTGTTTCCCACCAAAACTAGTTTTAGTGCCCCCTGCCAGGTGGCTCATTTGGTTGGAGGGTCATCCCATACACCAAAAAGGTTACAGGTTCAATTCCTGGCCAGGGAACAAACCTAGGTTGTAGGTTTGATCCCTGGTCCAGATGCGAACGGGAAACAGCTGATTGATGTTTCTCTCTCTCAGATCAATAAACATATACTCTGAAGGTGGGAGCGAGGAGGAGGGGGCTCAATGGGGGGAAAAAGGGAGCCATCTCTAATACTTTCAACAATAAAGATTTTAAAAATTCCGATAGAAATTATTTTTAAAAATAAATAAACATATCCTCTGGGGAGGATTAAAAAACACTAGCTTTATTCAAAAATAAATAAATTATCAGGTTGAACTTGCACTAATATCTACTCTTTTTTTGTACACTTGATTGGCAGATGTCAGGTCAGTTAAAAAATATATATATATATATAATTCTAATATAGTCTCAGTATTCCCTTTATATGCCTGTTCTAACCCCCTACTTTTGTTTCTTACTCCTTTCCACATAAACACACATGATAATCCTTTACCTTTATAAAGGACCATAAAGATTGTTATGATGTTAGAAACTCTTTTTCCTCTCACATTCTGTCATTTACTGCAACAATGAAAATCTTATTTTGGCCCTGGCCGGTTTGGCTCAGAGGTTAGAGGGTTGGCCCGCAGTCCGGAGAGTCCCAGGTTCGGTTCCTGCTAAGGGCATGTGCCTCGGTTGCAGTTTGTCGCCAGCTCCACTTGGGGTTGTGCGGGAGGCAGCCACTCGATGTGTCCCTTTCACGTCGATGTCTCTCTCTCCCTCCCACTCTATCCGAACAAAAATGGAAAAATGTCCTCGGTTGAGGATAAAATAAAAGAAAATAAAAAAGAAAATCTTATTTTGACTATCAATGCTTATTTTTTCTTCTAAACATGGAGAAAATAGATTTACTAGCAGTAGTACTATAGACAGGAAATACAATTCAACTGCAGAATTTCTACACTACTGATTTACAGTTTGCTAATTAAATTGCTATTACTATTTACTGCTTGACTTAGATATACCTTAGGTTTTTTTTGTTTTTTTTTTTTTGCATGATGAAAGAATTGTGTGTAACCAGTGATATGATGATAGTTCCTGAATGTACAGACAAAAGTAATTCTGAACACATTTTAACTTAAAAACTTTAATCCCTGCTTTAAGGGAATATGATAATGTATACTATGACAAATGTACTTTATTCTTCTAACACAGTGAGATTAAGATTTTTTTTACCCCCGAAATGAAGTGTGGTTTCTGTGTATCTTGGTTTAGTGATAGTTTCATTTTTAGTCAATTATTATCTTAATGTTTTTTTAGTATCCAAAGAATCCATTATATGAACAGACTTTTAAAATAATTTCTGTATATTGTATATATGAAATGGCTTTTATTGAACAGCTTATCGTCTACTTACAAGTTTATGGAAATATCAATATGTCAAAATAAATAAAAAGTGGGAGAAAAAAATAACTACAATACAAAACTATAGTGATCAAATCAGTATGGTTTTATGCATAAAAACAGACAGATATCAATGGAACAGAAGAGAGAATCTAGAAGAAAAACCACCAATATACAGTCAGTTAATTTATGACAAAGGAGCCAAGAATACAATGGGGCCCTGGCCAGTTTGGCTCAGCAGACCAAAGATTTCGGGTTTGATTCTGGTCAAGGGCACGTACCTGGGTTGCAGGTTCAATCCCCACTCCAGTCAGGGTTGTGCGGGAGGCAACTATTCAATGTGTCTCTCTCACACTAATGTGTGTGTGTGTGTGTGTCTCTCTCTCCCTCCCTTCCACTCTACCTAATAAAATCAATGAAAAAATATCCTTGGGTGAGGATTAACAACAATAACAAAAATACAATGGGGAAAGGATAGTTTCTTCAACAAATGGTGTTAAGAAAACTGGACAGCAACATGCAAAAGAATGAAACAGGACTCCTATCTTACAACATACACACAAAATCAATTCAAAATGAATTAAACTTAAATTAAAACATGAAACTGTAGCCCTAGCCGGTTTGGCTCAGCGGTTGGAGCGTCGGCCTGCGGTACAGAGAGACCCGGGTTCGGTTCCCGCTAAGGGCACGTACCTCGGTTGCAGTTTGTCCCCGGCCCTGGTTGGTCGTGCGGGTGGCAGCCACTCGATGTGTCCATTCACATCGATGTTTCTCTTTCTCTCTCTCTCTTCCTCTCTCTCCCTCCCACTCTATCTGAACAAAAAGTGAAAAACTGTCCTCGGGTGAGGATAAAAAACATGAAACTGTAAAAATCCTAGAAGAAAACATAAGGGGTATGCTCCTTGACATCAGTCTTGGCAATAACTTTTGGATTTGACACCAAAAGTACAAGTAACAAAAGCAAAAATAATAAGTGGGACTATGTCAAACTAAAACACAGCAAAAAGAAACCATCAAAAAAATAAAAAGGCGACTTACAGAATAGGAGAAAATATTAGCAAATAATATATCTGATAAGGGGTTAATATTCCAAAATATATAAAGAACTCACACAACACAACAGCAAAAAATCAGTATGATTTAAAAAATGGGCAGCCCTGGCCGGTTTTGCTCAGCGGTTAGAGCGTTGGCCTGCGGTCCTGAAAGACCCGGGTTCAGTTCCCGCTAAGGGCATGTACCTCGGTACATGCAACCACTCGACGTGTCCCTTTCACGTCAATGTTTCTCCCTCTCTCTCCCTCCCACTCTATCTGAACAAAAAAATGGAAAAATGTCCTCAGGTGAGGATTAAAAAAAAAAAAGGGCAGAGGGCCCTGGCCAGTTTGGCTCAGCAGTTAGAGCATTGGCCTACAGTCCAGAGAGACCCGCATTCGATTCCCGCTAAGAGCGCGTACCTTGGTTGCAGTTTGTCCCTGGCTCTGGTTGGTCATGTGGGTGGCAGCCACTCGATGTGTCCCTTTCACGTCAATGTTTCTCTCTCTCTCTCTTCCTCTCTCTCCCTCTACCCGAACAAAAAATGAAAAAATGTCCCCAGGTGAGGATTAAAAAAAAAAAAAGGGCAGAGGAACCAAAGAAGACATACAGGTAGCCAACAGGTACATAAAAAGGTGCTCAACATCACTAATCATCAAGGACATGCAAATCAAAACCACAATGAAGTATCACTTAAGAACTATTACCAAAAAACAAGAAATAAGAAGTGTTGGTGAGGATATGAGAAAAAGGAAACTCTTGTTCACTATTGGTAGGAATGCAAATTGGTGCAGCTACTACAGAAAACAGTATGAAGGTTCCTCAAAAAATTAAAAATAGAACTACCATATTACCCTGAAATCCCACTTCTGGGCATATATCCAAAGGAAAGAAAAACAGGATACTGAAGAGATATCTATACTCCCATGTTCACTGCATCATCATGTATAATAGCCATAATATGAAAACAACCTAAGTTCTGTCAATGGATGAATGGATAAAGAAGATGTGTGTGTGTGAGAGAGAGAGATATAAGGAGGGGGTACAAAGTTTTAGCTATAAGATGAATAAAGTCTGAGGATCTAACATGATGACTACAGTTAATAATACTGTACTATGTAAGTGAAATTTTCTAAAAGAATAGAACTTAAATGTTCTCATACATATACAAAAAAGATAAGTATGTGTGGTGATGGATGTGTTAAGTAATTAAGAGGAATCCTTTCACAATGTATATATCTATCAAGTCATGATGTATACTTTAAATAGCTTACAGTTTTGTCAATTATACCTCAATAAAGCTGACTAAAACCAGCAAAGATGTTTTCCAAGCCAAACAGAGTGCCATATTAAGTTTATATCTTATAGTCCTCCCCCCACCCCATCCCATCCTTTTTTTATACTTGCATTTATTATAGCTAGGGTGACCATAAATCCTAATTTGTCTGGAACAGTCCTGTAATAGCTGATAATGTCCCTGTTTCCTTTTCAAAAGTAGCCCAACCCAACTTATACAGCCCACTTTGGGATATAATAAAGGTTAGCAGTAATGACTGTTTAGATGACTGAGTTCTGGCCTCAGATAGACAATTCGTGGCTCTGTTACTTTCATGCTGTGGAACTTTGAAAAAATTAATATATGCCTGTAAGTCCCAGTTTCCTCAAGTATAAAATGTGTTCATTCTTTCAATAAATCTGTCTGCGTGCTCACAATGTGCCAGACACTGTTTTAGGCACTAGGATGAAAGTATGAATGGCAGTGCTTTTACTATTGAGGGAGACAGCAAATAAACTGAAAATATATCTTTAATATTTCAGGTGGAAGTAAGAAAGTAAACCTAGAGAGGGATGACAGAGAGAGAGAGGGGAATGTTATTGTAGAAAGAAGTATCGGGGGTGGACTATGTTCAGAAACATTTGAACAGGAAACTGAATGAAGTGGCAGGATAAGGTATGTGCATACTTGGCAGAGGGAAAGGCAAGTGCAAAAACCCTGAGGCAGGAGCCACTTTGTGGGTTTGAAGAAGAGCACCAACGCCAGTATGGCTAGAAAGGAGCAAGGGGGACAATGACAGGATGAGCAGCTGGAGAGTTGGGAAATGGCTGAGTAGACATTTCCTGAAGATGCTGCAATGATTAAACAAGACAATATATTTAAACCTCTTAACTCGGGACTGACAAATATGTGCTCAATGATCGGCTGTTATTTTTGAAAAATTTTATATGAACTGAAAAAGATCACTTCGAATATGGTGTGTGTGTGTGTGTGTGTGTCCAAAAAGCAATAAACAATTTGGTTCTTAGATTAAAAACAGAGATTTTTTTTCCCTTCTCTTTCTAGATATAAATATAGGCACAGCTGTCTCCATATTTTGAAAGAATTCATGGCAAGAATCCTTCAAAAATCCTCTTCCGTGCCCCTACAGAGAAATGCTATTTCCAACTTCTATTTCTCCCTCTGTAAAGAGCTGATAAACACCAATACATAGAAACAAAGGAGATGGACAATGAGAAGCATCCTTACGTTATATCGAGCATCGAGGCCATCGTAGCTTAGGGGCTGCTTCTGCTGCAGCCTCAGGTCTCCGTTCACATATAACTGAGACCCCGGAATAGCAAACGAGGATTGAAGAAATGCCATGCTCTGCATCACGAATGTTGACATCTTCTGAAATCATTAAAGGAAAAGACAATAAATACCAGTTTCAGTCAGATCTTAAGGGCTTTGGGTTCTAAGTTTCACCTGTTTGTGGTTGAAGCCTAGTGGTCCCTTATGCACCTGGCTTAGCCAAGTAGAGAGAGCTCTGCCCACAACCCTGTGAGCTGTTAATAGCTTGTATAAATTAATATGGCCCTAATGAAAAACATCTGATCTGCCTAAGTTAAATCCCAAACTACACCTCAGAAAAGAGCCTTTTTCTACAGTGTGGGTTTTCCTACAAATCAGAAAGAGGCCTCTATTCTACTATTAAAAGACAAAAGGGAGAGGACAGGCTTCCCTCAGGATTGACTCACGTGCAATTGGTAGGAGAAAGTCAAGATGAGTTGCACACCAAGAACATGCTCCGTGGACTGCAGGGGAAGCTCCAGTTTAAAATATAACATGTCCATTTTCCCATCCTGGTTCCTGTCTTCTTCTCTAGTCTAGGAAACCCAAAGAGGGCCAGTGATCCTGGTCCTTATTAAGTTGTTAAGAATCCATATCACTGTTGTAAGAATCCATATCACTGTTGTACATACACAATGACCCATTGTTCTGCTATACACAGGTATTATCTCTCTTATCAAAGAAAAAGATAAAAATAGAAATAAGTAAATAAAAATAAACCCTGGCCGGTTTGGCTCAGCGGTTAGAGTGTTGGCCCGCGGACCAAAGACCCGGGTTTGTTTCCCACTGACGGCACATACCTTGGTTGCAGTTTGTCCCCGGCCCGGTTGGGGTCGTGTGGGTGGCAGCCAGTCGGTGTGTCTCTCTCACATTGATGTGTCTCTCTCTTCCTCTCTCCCTCCTGCTCTATCTGAAGATAAATGCAAAAATGTACTTGGGTGAGGATAAAAAAAAAGAATAAAAATAAATAGGTATAAGGAATCAATATTAGAGAAAAAGACACAATGTGCATGGCCCCTGAATTTCATACTTGTACTTCTAAAATATTCAAGGGCCAAACTGAACAGGAACTTGAAGTGGTAATAACAACAATAAATATCAGGTTGGCATTTTTCTTTTTCAATTGTCTCATTTGATCTTTTTTTGTTTTGTTGCTGGCATCTTTCTTTTTTCATTTTTATAAACATGACTGAGTTTGTATGGAAAACTTAAATAGCACATCAGAATTATCTTCTACCTGTCTAGAAGAGAAATGAATACTAATCATTATGCATTCCCCAGACTCAGCAGAAAAACACCATATTCTATTTATACATCTTTTAACCACAAGTGTCTTTGCTGCAGATTCTCGATGTTGGACTGATTCTTATTACTGTCAGGACTTTAAAGCCTAGTGCATCTTTTAGTACCAATCAATAAAATGAAAAAGGAAGCTCTGGAAAATCAGTAAACCATTAAAACTACACAGATACTTTATAAATTATGGATATGAAAGTAGGGAAAAACAACTCTTAAGAGGTAAAAAGACAAATTATAGCTCATAAAAAAAACAAAAACAAAAACAAAACCCACTGGTATCCAGTCTTGCCATCCATAGTCTTGCTCCATAGTGATCCTAAAATGACTAGCAGGAAAGGATGTTTCCTAAAATGTGATCGCTGCTGACATGATTCCTTGGCACAACTCTGGATCTTGTTGCTACAACTGCTCCTTTCCCAGTATAGGTTCCCAGAAGGATTTTAGCATAGTGTTATCAATATTCCCATCTGAATTCTCCATCTACTGATTCATTTTTTCTTCCATCAATAAAATTATGCAAGAAAGAGATTCTTTGTTCTTTTTCAGACTAATAAGGTTGTTTAAGATGGAGATATCTCAGTTTTCAGAAACTTTCGATTGCTTTCCTTCTAGACAATAATGTCCTTATCCTAGGCCACAGAGAAACCTGCCCTCTGTCTTCTGTCGCATACTATTTTCCCTGTCCTGTTGCATCAGCTTCACAGGTGCAGCAGAGGGATTATGTGTTATCTGGCCTGATCATCAAGTTACTGAGGCAATTATGTATAAGCAATTATGATTAGGATAGAAAAAAGGCTGCCTTATCTTTCTGTGAATCTTCTTCAGTTGGTGTTTGGGAAGACCTGGAAGACTAAGTTGGGTTAACTATCTGGAGTGGATCTATGCTTCTTGGATCCTTAGGATTAAACAGGAAGACAAGGATCAAGTGTCTCAGCTTGCAAGGGAGGATAGTGGCTGGGAGGGAATTGCCAGAAGAATACAGACTCCAACACAGTGTGGGAGGGAGAAAAAAGCAATTCATTTGATTTTTAAACAGAGCAAGTATTATTATCCCCATTGTATAGATGAGAAAATCAAGGCTTAGTGGGGTGAAGGAATTTATTGGGTACTGCTAGTAATTTATTGGGGTACTGCTAGACAGGATTTGAAAATATATTTTTTACTTCAAATATGGTTCTTTCCAGATAAAACAAAACAAAAACCAAAACCCAAAACAACTCAAGAAGATGTTGGGTAGGACAAATAATTTTGAAAAAACCAGTGTCAAAAGTATGAGTGTAAGCCCGGCAGGTGTGGCTCAGTGGTTGAGCATTAACCCATGCAGCAAGAGGTCACTGGTTCAATTCCTGGTCAGGGCATATGCGCAGGTTATGGGCCTGATCCCCAGCGTGTGGCATGTAGGAGGCGGCCAATTGATTTTCTCACTCATCTATGTTTCTATCTCTCTTTCTTTCTCCCTTCCTCTCTCTCAAATCAATAAATATTAAAAACAAAAAACCCTTGAAAAAAAAAGTATGAGTTTAAGTCGTATACTTGCTTGTGCACATATTTTTCCCTCCAGGTTCAGAGAGAACAGAGATCTGGCATAGCACCATAATTAATATCTACTTATTAAATTCACTCATTAATCTATCAAGTATATTTTGAGGGCCTACTATGTGTCAGGCACTATTTCAGGTGCTAGGAATATAATGGCAAACAAAATAGACCAAGTCCCTCTCTTCCCCCCACTGGAGCTTACATTCCCAGCCAAGAAGGCAGACAATAAATCAATAAATAAGTAAATATATACCTATATTAGGTAATGATAAGTGCCACAAAAAAATGTGAACAGCCTGGCCGGTGTGGCTCAGTGGTTGAGCGCTGGCCCATGCACCAAGAAAGAGGTCACAGGTTGTGGGCCCGATCCCCAGTGGGGGCATTCAGGAGGTGGCCAATTGATGTTTCTACCTCTCTCTCCCTCTCCTTCTGTCTCTCTCTAAAAAATCAATACAGAAAAAAAAAAAATTAAAAAATAAAAAAGAAATGTGAAGCAGTCTAAAATTAGAGAATATCTCAGCAGGTGTGGCTCAGTGGATTGAGTGTTGTCCCATGGACTGAGGTCCCGGTTCAATTCCCCCCAGTCGGGTTGCAGGCTAGATCCCCAGTGGGGGGTGTGCAGGAGGCAGCCGATCGATGTTTCTATCTCTCTCTCCCTAAAAAAATCAATAAAAACATATTTTAAAAAATAAGTAAATAAATAAAATTAGAGAACCAGGGTAAATTTTTTTATAGAAAATATTCAGGAAGACCTGACTGTTGGAAACCTGAATGAAGTGGGGTAAGGAGGCATGGAATATCTGTGGGAAGAGTGATCCCAGCTAACAAAGTGAACATATGCACTAAGTAAAAGTGGGGCAGTGTTTAAGAGAGTGTTACCCGGCCAGTGCAGCTGAGCAAAGTAATATGGAGAGTAGTGAATAAAGGGGGCCGGGAGAGAGCCATGGGGAAAAAAGATGATACAAACGGTGCATATCCCACAATGACCTATCACCAAGTTAGAATCTCACTCCCCTAAAACTGGCAAGGTGGGCTACATTTCTGTGCTATCACTTGGATATCAATGAAATCAATTATTTAATTCCATTTAGTTCAAATCAATCTTAACACATGTGCAACAGCTATAAAGACAGGTATTCAAAGGGCTAATACTTCTTTAACACAAGTTCAAGGTTATTATCTAAAATCAATGCCCTGGCCGGTTTGGCTCAGCGGGTAGAGTGCCGGCCTGCGGTCCAGAGAGACCTGGGTTCAGTTCCCGCTAAGGGCACGTACCTCGGTTGTAGTTTGTCCCCAGCCCTGGTTGGTCATGCGGGTGGCAGCCACTCGATGTGTCCCTTTCACGTCGATATTTCTCTCTCTCTCTTCCTCTCTCTCCCTCCCACTCTGTCTGAATAAAGAATGAAAAAAAGTCCCCCAGTGAGGATAAAAAAATAAAAAATAAAAATAAAATAAATAAAATAAAATAAAATTGGTGTGTCTAAGATAATTCATAAATCACACCATCACTTTATTTCTATAAGGCATAAATACGATTTGGAACAATGTTTATATCCCTTGATTGTTCCATCGGATCCCACTGCATATCCCAGGAGAGAGATATTCTTATTAATAATAGTAATAATTAGAGACGTAGGTACTATCATGCTCTTTAGATAAACAGTTACATTGAAGCCGAGAGAGTATGGAGCCCAATGACAGAACTGGGGCTAGGATTCAGGTTTGCTGACTTTTATTCAGTGCTCCTTCTATAATAACCCACAAGAACCTTAATTTCAAGGGTTTCTGGTAGTTAAAAGAATGCAATCCTTTACAAATATGTTAAATCAATACTAATATATTAGATAGAATAAATACAGGCATCATTGGATTTAGTCAGCGCATATCAGTCTACCTGTATCAACAGGAAAACAGAAACTAAATAGTTATTCTAACAGAGGGAATTTAGTATAGGGGATAATTAGTAACATAGGTATTAGGGGACTAAAAACGAAAAAAGAGCACTGGCTGGTTTGGCTCAGCGGTCGCCTGCAGTCCAGAGACTCAGGTTCGGTTCCCGCTAAGGGCACGTACTTCGGTTGCAGTTTATCCCCGGCCCTGGTTGGGTCATGCGGGTGACAACCACTCGATGTACCCCTTTCACGTTGATGTTTCTCTCTCCCTCCCACTGTATTTGAACAAAAAAAATGGAAAAATGTCCTCGGGTGAGGATTTAATTAATTAATAAATAAAAACGAAAAAAGGGAATGCTGCCCTGGCCAGAATGGCTCAGCAGTTAAAGTGTAGGCCCAGGAACCAGAGAGACCCGGGTTCGGTTCCCGCTAAGGGCATGTACCTCGATTGCAGATTGTCCCCTACCCTGGTTGGGGTTGTGTGGGTGGCAACCACTCGATGTGTCTCTCACACATCGATGTTTCCCTCTCTCTCCCTCCTCTCTCAAGATAAAAGCAAAAAAATGTCCTCAGGTGAGGATCAAAAAAAGTAAAATAAAACACACATCCCAAAAGGGAATGCTCTGATAACCCAGAGAGGGAAATTGCAGGAAGCAGCTCCCATGCCTAGAACTGGAGAAGAAAGGAAAGAGGCTGGCATTAGTCTTTGGGTCTCGTGCAAAGTAGGGACCTCTACTTCAGGGCTCCTAGACTCATCAAATCCTTGCTACCTATATTTCAATGAATTTAAGATACCATCAATTATA